GGGCCTGGGAAGCCAGAGAAAGGGAAAGTGCCCTCCGGGCTGTCAGCCCCGCGCCGCCGCCGCCGCCCGAGGCTGTCTTCGGTAGCGCAGGTCCTAGCTCGGGAGAAAACAGATTGTTGGGGCGGACACTGTGTGAGTACAGGTGTATCCCAGTGCACGCGTTCCAGAAATGTTTCGGTCATTTTAATTGCCCAGAGGGCTAGCTATTTAAAGGAGGTTTTGCAGGCTTTTTTCTTTCTTTTTTTCTTTTTTGGGTTAGAGTCTCACTCTGTCTCCAGACTGGAGGGCAGTGGCCGCTCCCGGCCACCGCAGCCTCGGCCTGCTGGGCTCAGGCGATCCTTCTGCCTCCGCCTTCCGAGTAGCTGGAGCTACAGGCGCGCGCACCACACCCGGCTAGTTTGTTTGTTTGTTTGTTTTTTAATTTATTGTAAAGACGAGATCTCGCCAAGTTGCCCAGGCTGGTCTCGAGCCCCTGAGCTCAGGCAGTCCTCTCGCCTCTGCCTCCCAAAGTGCTGGGATTACAGGTGTGAGCCAAGGAGCCCTGCTGAGATTTCGTTTCAATAAGGAAGAATCGTCTTGTCCAAAAAAATCACCACCGGTCTCTTTTTCCTTCTATATTTCTGTTAACACATGCTAAAAAAAATTAATTCTTACATCAACCAAAACTTGTAAAGTGGAGCCACAAGTATCACAGTGTTCCCCCATCACCCGCCTACAAAAATACCATATAAAAATACAAGTGTGCAATTTTCTTGAAGACAAAAAAAGTTAACACTTCATTTTAATTTAAATAGTGGGTTGAGAAGCAATTGAAGTTGATAAACAGTGTAATCTGGAAATACCGACTGCCCCCCCCAAACTAAATCCCATCGTCTAGGTAGCGGTTGTAACGTGCCTCTTGTCACAAATTGACCTAACAGTGATTGATAAGAATCAGATTTGCTGTCATCCTTGATTTTAGTGTCAACATATCAGAAAAGGCCTTTGTCTGAGTTACTCATAAATGTATTAACAACTAACACAGTACCTGCACTTAGTACATACTCAAAATATTTGCTGAACAAATAAATGCTTGCATTATTTAATAAGAGAAAATAATTTAGCCATAGCTTACCTTATTTCCAACTATGGTGTATTCTCCTGTGTCTCTTGTTTTGTTGTTGTTGTTTGCACCAGTTAAAGTCTCCAAGCTCTAAATATGCTTTGATCTAAACTATCTTTGATAATATCTGGTCTCTCTACCTCCTGGAATAATTGTATCTGACACACCATATACCCCTTACAAAAACTTTCACAAACTCCCTAAGGGCAAAAACTGTTCGTAATTCACCTTTTTATTCCCCATAGAGTGTAAGTATAGCACCTTATATATTGTACTTGTTGAACACGTATTTTTGAATTCATATCAATTTTAATTCAGAGAAAACAAATGGCTTTAATTTCCAGTCTATTGCCTAACCTTCCACTAGACCATACTATACATAGTGTTGTTTTAAAATTCTTTCAGTGACGAATAAGAGATACAGTGTGTGAAATAATCGTAATTTTTATCTGGGAAAACACTATGAAATGTTATACTACAATTTGCATACGTTAATATTTATAGTTCTGTAATATTTTTCATTTCATGGACCCAGGGCTATTTAATGAATAGTTAAGGCATAAAATTATGTCCCGGGGAAATATTCCCACAGGAAATGACTGATAGCAAAGCTGCCAATAATGGTTCTATAAACACAATTTGATCTCTATCTCAGAAATTGTTTCCATTCCAACTCTCTGTTGCAAAATCTTTTTATAGTTAACAGAGTTGTAGTTAACATGGTTGTTAAGACCACCATAAGCTGCGTGTCTATCAATAGATAGATAGATAGATAGATAGATAGATAGATAGATAGATAGATATAGAAAAATACAACTTTGAAGGTCTAGGTTGAACTTCATCCTGAATTCAATGTGTCAACTTGTTCAGGAGTTATAAAACACATTGGCCAATATAAAATGCTAGGCGTTACCCAGAATCACAAGAGACCTTAATGCCACTTTAAAGTTGAGACTGTTCTATCATATGTATTTTAATCATATTTTGGACCGTAACAGAAATGAATAAGGCATTTCTGGCCATATGACACTACTCAATGGCCTTAAAACTCTAAGTTCCACTTTTCTGTCTGTGCATTACACATCAATAAAAAAGTTCGTAGAAATGTAATTCTAAGGAGACAGTGTCCACAGAACTTCCATTATACATAATATAATTAAAACCATGACAGGATATGAACATAAACTATACTTTGTAAAACCTTTTTTGTTTCCACAACCCATACCCTATGTCCCCACTTACCTCAATTTTCATATCTTTCTAATCGACAGATGCCCATGAAAATCAGGGGGTGAGAATACATTTTTCAGTGTTTATACTTGTTCCTCAGTGACTTGGAAATCTTGTTGATGCCCCGTGAATTAACAACTGTGTGTTGGCGCTGTCACAAAAGATAGAGCAACTTTGGGAGAACAGGACTTGTAAGGCAGGGAGCCAAGCCAGGGATGGAGCGGTACTGACTCAATCCCGGAGAAGGGGGACAAGAAGGACAGGTCGAGGCAGAGAGCCGGGTTTAACAGTAAGAGAAGGAAAGTGTATAGGTGTGTTGTGGTTATTTTCTAGTCAATTTAGAGCACATTTCTGTCTCACTAGTGCTCAGTCTTCCAGTGCACTCTTAGCAGAACCAAAGGCAAGTTTAGCTCTGGCATTTGCCCAGTTCTCCCTCCCTAAACTGCCTTGAAGGAATTCTCTGCTGTCAACCTACCTTGCTCACGCAGTTCTGCCATACTGAGTAAAAATCACTTCAGCCTAAAGCTGGCCACACTACCACTACCCTCAGAATCGAAGATGGCATGTTTTCCATTCAGCAATTTTCACTGTTTCATAATTAACAATTTCAGGCAATTTGCAACATTTCTTACCTCATCATACCCCCAACCAAAGTAATGAAAAGGGGACTTTAGCCAGGCGCTGTGGCTCACACCTGTAATTCCAGCACTTTGGGAGGTGGAGGTGAGAGGATTACCTTAGCTCAGGGGTTTGAGACCAGCCTGAGCAACATGGTGAGACCTCGTCTGTACAATAAATCAAAAAATCAGCCAGACATGGTGGCACATGCCTGTGGTTCGAGCTACTTGGAAGGCCGAGATGGAAAGATTACCCGAGTCCAGCAAGTCGAGGCTGCAGTGGCCGGGACCATGCCACTGCACTCCAGCCTGGACGACAGAGTGAGACCCCAACTCGAAACAAAAAAAAAAAGACTTATGCTAAAAATCACATGTATTTTCTGATGTTAGGCATGTATAATGTTTTAGAATATTCACTGATATTTCCAATTCTGTTATTGAATATTTGGGGTATTTACAGTAACTTACTCAAGCTCACTCATAAGGGGAATTCAAATCCCATCTGTCTGATTCCAAAGACAGGACAACTCTGGCATTTCCTTGAATAGAAAAAAAGGCTAGACCCTTGATATAATAGTCCTTGCAATGACTTGAAACTTGTTTTTATAAAATATTTAGTTGGTCACTTTTCAGAAAAGAGTTTAATATTTTATAAACATAATGTGAAATACAGCTAAACACTGGGAATCTGCTTGGTGAATATTTGATTATTTGAATGCTTCTCAGTGCAGTCATCTTCAAAGGTGAGAACTAAATCCTGATTCCCCATTTAACTATAAATTCACTCATATTAAACCACAGTGTGATACTGCATTCTGAAAATGTAGTCTGACTTTAAAGGTAGTACAATTAAGTACTTTAAAGCCAAATACATGCATCCCTTTGCAACCACAGGAGTTCTCAGACTGTTAGAAAACCCTCTTTATTTTCTTCTTTC